ACTTGCTATAACTGTATGAATGTTATGTCAGAAACAAAAGATTGGCTCAGGCTAGGACAGAGTTCAGAGCTGTTGTATACAGGGTCACTGTGAGTCACTGGTTTCTCGATGGCACCTAACAATACTCTGTTAATGTACTACATGTCACCTTGAGACAGTGTCAGGATGTTACATTTTTACATGCCATTGGATTTTGTTTGCTATTGTTATTTTGTTCTATCTGTAATGAAGTAGATAGAACAATATTTCCATTTCTTTAGTCCCCTCATTTATTTATATATAAGGAGATTGTGTTCTCTCAGAATAATTAGTGCCGTTTTGCATTTATTTATTTTTCTGAAAGGTGAGGTTTTGTTACGTGTGGGGTGTTTTGTCTTCTTTAATGTAGCTTTTTAAAACTGGTAGAATTCTCTTATAAAACTGTCTGGGACTGGAGTTTTATTTGTGGCTTAAAAAAAAACAAAACTCCAATTCCTTTAATTCTTTTATTCTTTTGTTTTTATGAGTGTTTTTCTGTTTTATATTTTTCAGAGAATTATTTCTCAGTTTCTAGCTTACTAGCAGGAAGTTAATAGAAGCACCCTTCGAAAAATAATGTAAATTTATTTTTTTCTCTCCTTTCTGCTAACATCATGCTGTAAGGTTTTGAGTTCACCTCTGTCTTTCCAAGGATCCTTTAACCTCTTTTAGGTGCTCTACCTTTCACTAGTTATGTCTCTCATCTTAACAAACCTTTTCCCACTTCTATAACTATGGCTCTGTTTTATTTATGGTGCCATTAATCCCTTCCAGGTGCTGGGTTGGGTCTTACTGTAATTTTTTCTCTTCCAGCTTCCACTTCTCTGCTGCCTTAGGTTCTTTGTAACATGAATGTGTAAAATGACATGTGCTCATCTCACTGGAAACTACTCAGCACCCCACACCCTGTAGGTTTGCTGTGCTCTCACTTAATCCAGGTTGATTTCTTCTTGACCTTCTTGTTATCAAGAAATTGTTTTTACAGTTCCTAATGGGAAATAAGACTTGTATATGGAGTTGAAAGACTTAGTGGTGTTAATGGTGCTGTGTGTGGCACACTGATTAGGATTCATGTCCTTACTGGTACCACTCAGAGAGCTAGGGGATTTTTTTCTTTTTCCAAGGCTTGTAATTTATCTATGTTGGGGAACACTGCCCATCTTTGTTTTCTGCATGTCTAGTGAGTAGAGGCCCCTGCCTGCCTTCCTTTCCTTTCCCCCAGATTATCTTTCAGCAATGTTTGGACCATGGTCACTACCAGGATATGAGATGATTTCACTCTCTATCTCAAAGGTCAGACACGTTGCAGCACTCCACAGATAGCGAGGTTCCCTAAGCCCAGGCTCTCCTCCATGGCACACCCAACTGTATGCACAGGTATCCTCTGGCTTTGTGGGGATCAGAATTCTGGTCCAGTATACACTATGGTAACTGCTTTTGTAATTAAGGCCTCTCTCTCTACCCTAGGTTTCTTGTGCTGTTTACCTGCATCTATGAAATGGGCAAAGCTGTGTGAGTAAATGGAATATTTTCTATTTAAGGCAATAATGTCAGTAAAATTGATAATATGTGTCCTAGTAATATCTAAAGCCATGGACAGTCAGGCATTGATATATAGAAACAGAGGAAGGGACATCTGGTGTAACTGGAGGGCAGAAGAAATAAGTGTTGTACCAGAGAAGGCTTAAAAGAATATACAAAATACTATTTATAATTTCTTAACTTACCTTAGTATAAATGTAGGAAAGACAAGACTTTAAAATACCATACAGATAAAAATATCTACTGTGTATAAAAGGACAGAAGATGTTAGAATGAAAACTAAAAATGGAGATTAAGTGAAGATTTGAGGAAAGTTCAGATTTAGGAATCTAAGTTTATTAATTTAAATGAAGGCTGAACTGAATTCTAAATTTTCAAAAGGGACATAGTAACAGAGGCAAGTTGGACTCTCCTTCAAAGCTTCAGTGGTACCTGAGTGAGTCTCACACATGAAAGGAGACCGCTCCACGCTGGCCCTCCAAGTGCCCCACCACTGTGTGCCAGCACTCTGATTCCTGTAGCACAGAACAGCATGAGGTTTAAAAAAAGATCTTGTTCCCAGGACTGTGGCTAGAGATTCTTGTGCATATAAAGAAATTTAGTTAAGCACTAAGCACTTCCCTTCCCAGCATAAGATAAAGAATAGACAGCATTGTACAAAATAACAAATTTTATTTCTATAAAATATTTTCCACTAACTACACACATGCACACACCCACACAAGTACTTAACCCCACATAGATTCATTTCCTTTTAGTACATCTAACACATACTATTATGTTACAGTTTACAATATATTTTTGAAGACACAATGGGGAAAGCTTAGATCATTCATTTTATAAACCTTCCATAAATTACAAAAGAAAGGCAGTCTGAAAATATGTATAAAGAGTAAAAACAATTTACAAGTGGACAAGAATTACAAAATAGTCACCACCAATACATCTGCCAGCAACTCTAAGTTATGTGTTCGAATGCCAGTGGTGAGGATAGGGTGGAATGCTCTTGAGCAGAGTTAAATCTAGGGTGTCTGGGATGTGGCCTGTGTATGGTGGGGTCATTTAGGTGTATGCTGGTCAGGGCTGAGGAATTGTGTGTGGCATTCTGACAGGGTGGAAGGAACAGAAATCCACAGAATGGAACACTGAAAGCAGTGGAGGGCGGCAGCGTGCAGCCTGCTACAGAGCCCTCCCTCCCACCCTGGTGAGAGATGAGGTAAGTAAACACTGTTCTGTGTGAGGCTGGCTTGCTGTGTTTAAAGACTCAAGTCAGTATCTTAAGACTGCATAGCCCCTACGGCTTGATCTCACAGCACTGTCAGGATGAAGACCACTGAACGCACACACATACAAAGTAGACAGGGTATTCCTTTATTAGACAGTACAAATCATTGTGCATTATAAGGCAGGACATCAAGGCGGATTAAACTAGGAATTTCAAGACCAAAGTTAAGTGGAAGTGATGCATTATGAGGCAAGCACTTTGAAAGGGACAAGGTTGGAAATCATTCCTTTCAGGGTGGATGACAAATGCGCAAAGACTGAGTGACAGATTGGGAGAGAGCCCCTGCCCCAAACTTAGAGAGGCCCCCTCGGGCCGGTGGCTGGAGCAGAGCCGCAGCTCCTCCTTGCTCTGGCAGTTGGTTTAAAGTGGATGGTAGGTAGTGCAAAAGTGCATTTCTCTACTGGTGGCAGGGGAGGAGAGTGTTTTTAGGAAGGACTTGAGTCATGAAAGCCCTAGTTTGGAATTAAAGAAAATCACACCGATTGGGGAGTTGTCCAGAGCTCAGGGATCATTTCACTGCACCAAGCTTTCGCAGCAGTTTCTTGCCTTTGGAAAGCAGCCCCTTTTTCTTTTTCGAGGACATTTCCCTGCCTCTCCCAGGACTACCAGAACCCATAGATGACGTAGGTGACCCCGAATGGAGATGGACTGTGGGGGATGGAGCTCTCCTTGCTGTACCTGACCCCTCAGGAGGAACCTAGTAGGTACAGTGTTACAGTTTATTGAGTGCCTGAGCGCCAACAACATCAATTCACTCGGTAACATCGCACTGCCCCGATTCCCACCAGGAAAGACAAAGGAGAAGGGTTCATTTCTTCTTTCAATTTTTAAAGTATGCCATGAGAAGCAAGCATCCCCTCCCAAAAAATAACTGAGAAGGGAGGTGGCCACTGCTTTGGCAAAACCAAGCCAGGAAATAATATTAAGACTGAAAGCAGAGGAAAAATACAGTGCAGCTTGGGTTGATAGTAAAGTTGGCCGAGTACCCATCAATTATTTGGTTCTAGACAAATCCTGATAACTGTTGAATGCATTCCTGAATTAGTTCACTACAGAAATATTGGAGATGGCACACTGGTTGAAAGAAAAAAAAAACTAAAATGAACCTTAATTGCAATCAAAGAAAGCTTAAAGGCCCTTATTTGCCTGTTTTCATTCTTTAAATATTCCTTCTAATTGTATAACATGTCTGCATTACTTCAAGTATTTAATTTATGCAAACTTCCATCCCTTTGAACTTTAATAATGTTGCATGAAGAATTTGTCTCCATTTTGACACTGGGCTGGGACTGACAGGACCTGATTCCCTCATTTCTCTCCTAGAACCCAGTGACTTCCGTAATCTTCGCGTGTTCGTTATTCAGCAGGCAAATGACCTAAGCCACAGGGCTTCAAGCTTGCTTGGATTTAAAATCAAGGTCTAGTTCTAATGGAAAACTCCTAGTCAAGCATCCCAAAGCACACCTGAAGATACCATCTAGTCCGTCTAATGCAATCACGTGAGCTGCACGTTTCATAGAACCTGGTATTGCATTGGTACACCAGTCAGTCTCAAAGCTGTGTGTGCGCAGTGCAGGCAGCTGTGCTGAGGAGAGGTGTGGGCGCGCGCGTCAGTTAGAGGGGCGGCCACTTAAGAAAAATAACTCCTGGTACTTCGTGTGGCATCTGGAGCAGCCAGAGCCAGCTCTAGAACCACCTTTTGGTCACTACTCATCTGCTTGAGTTGTTTGGTTTTTTTCCCCCCTTTAAATATCCTATAGTAAACATATTTGTTAGGTTGTGCTTTTTTCCAAGAGTGGCTAACAATGCAATATGCAGCTTTAAATATGAGTAGACACTGGAACACGTCTGTATGTAAACAAACAGCTTGTTAAGAAATATGTTCCCAATGGTGGCCTTTCATAATGGTCTTAAATAGTAGGTAATTATTTTATAAAGATGATTTGTGTCACTACAACAGATTCAGTTGTTTTACAACTGAGACCAAGCAGTATCCTAATACTTTAGGTCCAATGATTGTTTGAGACATATTTCTTTGTTTTTAAACCCCACAGTGAAGCCTTACGTCTACCGCATTAGTCCAGGTAAGGAGCCTAAGTTGGTATCTTTATAGGTATCTTCAGTTGCTCACTTACGTGAAGGCTACATTGCCTGATTAAGGTGTGAAATGAACACTCTTCTTCTGTTTCCAAGCAGATGAGCAAAGAAATAAAAATATATATATATATATAAAAATGTAATATAGAAAAATTTGTTGTGATGAAACAAAATAAAAATGAGACACTAAACATGAATGTCATCTAAACTTTTAAGGTGCCCAGGCAGTCCTCCGGACTGGGGGCAGTGGCCAGGGCTGCCCACCGAGGAGACAGGATATGTCCCTCTGTACTCTGCATTGGCTCTCTAAGGAAGGACAGAATTTCCTTCATGAGGAAAAGTGGAGGGATTAGCCTTGAAAGGGAGGGTCATTTTTGTAAACTCAGTAAATGTAAGAATGTTTAGGTACAACCCCTAATGGAAGGGCAGAGAAGAAAAATCAGGGTATACGTTTCAGCCCAAGGTATAAAAACAGTGATGGCAAAGGTAAGTAGACCATAGGTGAGAGGCGACCAGTTAGAAAGGTGAAGTGCGTCTGCTTACCCTTTTAGCCTTCGAGCGCAGTGGGGTGTCTTGAGAGTAGTGGGAAGGGGCATCAGAAAGGTACACTTCAACGTCATCAGGCACTTCTTCCAGGAAGTTGGAAGGCACAAGGCCTTTGTGCCCATTCAGCTCCCCCTACAGCACAAGAAGAGACAAAAGAATTCTTTAGCTAAAGCAAGAAATACACTTCTAAAAAGGTTAAATACATATCAACATTGAGATGCGTTCAGTGTTTGTTTCTACTTAGAAGGGGTACAGCGTGAGGTTCTCTAATGTTCCTTAAATATAGAGTCCTGATACCCTGGAGAGCAGAGTTAAGCAGGACCCATTCTTGGGAACCTCTCAAGTCTGTGGGCTCTCAGCCTATTTGTACAGTAATTCCCCCCCCCCTTTGATCACTGCAGGGTCTCCAGGCCGATATGGAAGAGTCAAGATGCCCTCAAGCAGGTGCAGACACTGGAAAACTGGGGGGAGCCCTGCCAGGGACAGACCTCCATGAGGGGAGAGGGCAGGTTATACAACTGTCTGTGATTTGTTTTTACTCACAATGTGTTTCCTATGACCTTGTTAACTGGCTGTACAATCAATACTGAAAAATCTGTATTTAAAAAAGTGCGGATGGCAGCAACTTAAAATGTAAGGAAATAAAACATCATTGTGCCATTTCTCACTATGGAAACAAAGTACGTTTGACAAATTTTAAGCCACACTGAGTTCTGGTTTTCAGGAAAAGGACAGACAGGAATGAGAAAGTAAAATGAGTAGGGGTTTGTAGAGAGGTTTTAAAAACTTACATAATAAAATCCATCTTCATCAATTTCACCAAAAACAGTAATAATATCTCCTGTACAAAATGTAAGTTCTGCCTGTAGAAATGGAACATAAAGTCAACATCATTCCCCTATAGTTTTGGAGAAACTTTCAACTAGACCAGCCTCTGCAGGTAAAGAGAAAGGGTCAAAGCTGGCCATTGGCTCCGTGCCTACAGCTACCACCACCATCTCGGCTCACAGCCACGTGCAGGATTTGCTGCTTGGACAGAATCCCAGGCTACTTAGCCATTCAGATAGTTTCAACTCACTTGAACCTTACAAACATGAACTTTGCTGTCTTAAGACATTACAAACTTCAAAGAGACAGTGGTGTCTCCTTTATCTCGGTCTTCAGGAGGGAACTGTTCCCCAACCCCACCCTGGAGACAAGGAACAGCCTCCTGCCCCAAAACAGAGACAAATCTTAATAGCCAAGCCATCTTCTCCTGTAAATGTGAAAAGTATGCATTTAGGTTTACACGTAAAGACTACCGGCATACATCTGCCCTGTGCAGAAGCAATGGGTATGTTTTGAACCCCCTCAGTCTAAGTCATGGGCTTGTGGATTGTAACTCAGCAGAGATATGCACAGGATGCCCTCCACTGAGAAACATCCTTCATGGCTGAAGGCAAGCAGGCCAGAGTCACTAGAGATGCCAGGCTCTGAGTGTGGGAAGGGCTGTCGTCTTCTCTGTCCATGTGAGGTCCTGACTACCTGAGATGGCACTTATCCTACATTAGATCCCCCTGAATGAAATCAAGAGGCACTTGAGTGGTAGTGGGGTCAGTCTGGGCAGCCAGTTGGCCTGGGACATCAGGACGCACAGGCTTGCCTAGGCCATGGCCACTGACTCAAACAGAAAAGGTTAAAATCAGGTGGTTTAAGGATGAAATTCATGAGCAGTTGCGTTGGGTGAAGGGTTTGTGTCAAAAGTAAAAGCATATTGGACAGGTACCTCCACATCAACGTTGGGCGAGCTTTCCCTCGGGTCATAGTCGTAAAGAGCCACCATTCTCCGTGTGGGTGTTGAGTGCTGCCTGCCACTTCTGTGTCTCTCTGGAACAAAGGGAAGAAGAGAGTCGTTACAAGTCTGCTATGGATCTGGGTGGCAAAATCAATCTGCCTTCCCCCTCTGAGACTGGTCGCTGGGCTGTCAAATTTATAGGACTAAGTTTTGCCTGAAACATCCACTTAGTAACTTTCTGAGATTTGTAAAATCTGCAGTGGTGCCCCACTGTCACCCTGACACTGAAGACTTGCAACAAATGTTTTCCTATTAGGTACAAAGATCAGTCTTACTCTTATTTTCAAAGGTCTTTTCTGTCTTCTCTCAACTTTCTGGTTTTAAGATCGCTGCTGTCTCACTTAAAGCAAAAGAGAGGCCCCTGTTAATGTGTTCTTGTATCATACAGAAGATGATGCCAGGAAAAGACCCTGATAAAAGCTTTAGTTCCTCTCCATGGAGGTGGTTTTGCGTCCTAGGGTTATGTCATGAGAGTTCTGCTTTTTGTGCCGGTTTCTGCTCTAAGTAGGCTCCTCCTGGTGGTCTAGTGTTGATCTTCCTCTTCTGATTTTAGGTCTCCTTGGTTGGTGGTGGGGATTTTTGCATTGTTTGTTTGTTTGTTTTTGGGGTTGTTTTTTTTTTTACTTTATTCATTCTCTGTTGCACGTTTTCTTCCCCTCCCCCAGTCCACCTTTTTTTTTTTTCAGATTGTCATCATACTGTCTTTCGGACCATGTGTCACCTCACCTCTTCCAGTGCAGTGTTTACTTTCTACACACTCTTCCCATTCTTCCCCAAACCCCCACATCAGTGTTTTTATATTTGAATTGGTTTTTTGTTCCAACAAGGTTAAAATGCCTAGCTACTGCAGGATTTGTATTTATGGCTTGGCCGTGGTGTACTCTCCCACTCTGTTCCTGAAAACAGCTGCGTAGCAGCACACTTTATCAGGCGCTAATACATCCACCAGCTTTCTTATTGGAGAACACAGTGTCCCCCAATGTCTTTACTGTCAAAATGTGTCTGTACACCTTGCCGATGGCACCTAGTTAGGTACTGTTGGTTGGTTGCTTAAATCACATTCATGCAGTTGTGTAGCTAGGCTAAGGTCTAGCATCACTGTAACTTCCTATTTTACCTGCTCCTTAAACTTTTTCTGCCTATTAAGGGTTTTTTTTTCACCTGTAACTGTTAGGTTCAAATCTATCAGCCACATCCAGAGAGGAAAAATTAGTTCCTATGAACACTTATGCCATTGGAAGCCCAGGGAAGTCACTATGAGTCAGAACTGACCCAATGGCTAAGCTGTTTCAGGTGGTTTATACTCCTGAGCTGCAGGCAGAGGCAGGGCTTACTGGAAGCCAGGCTGTGGCTGGATCTCTGCCTACCTATTTTCTCCACTGGGGTGTTGAGGGGCAGGAAGCCTTGTCTGAGAAGCTGTCCCATCATCTCCTCATCATCCGCTTGGATCTCGGAGACCATGTTACAGGGAATAAGGCCAAGGCGGGCACAGGTCTCCCCTCGGTAGAACCCGTCTGCGTCTTTGTCACCGTAAACCTAGAGTGGGAAATGGCATCGTCACCACATGAGGCACCAGAAAGTGTGCATGTGACCTCCTGGACAGATCCTCTTGGGTAGGGACCATTGTCAGCATGAGGAGTGAGGTCCACTATGTGCAGACCACATGCCAGGGTAGGAAATTTCTCCACTACAAGCCTATCATAAGAAGGACATTGTAAATGTCCCCACATCCCTCCCAGTCCTACCTCTAGCCACTGTGTTTCACAAGACAGCCCTGACGGCACCTTCCTATGGGAGTTACCAGTGGCCCCTTCAGAATTTAGTTAGGTCTTGGGCCTCCCTGCCCCTCTGCTGCAGAGTGTCATCAGTCATCCACTGACAAGTGGACATAGCAGGCAAAGCCCATCACTGGAGAGCCCCATGCTGCTGCACCCTTTACGGCAGGCCTCGCAGGAGACATTGAGCTTACATATAGCATGGGCACCTGATGGAGTCTGATTCATACAGCACTGTGTGTGGCTGTGTGCATGTGTACACAACCCTGTAAGACAGGCAAAACCTAGGACTCGTCCCAGCCCCGTGATCACTCCCTGACGGCTGGATGTCTCACTACCAGCAGCCTAGGGGTTCCTGCCTAGTGCTATGTGTTCAATGCTAGTCTCAAGGTGAAAGTCAGCTGATGTTGAGTCCTCAGCATCTGCTATCGGACCTACACCCTGAACCAGTGCCTGCACAGCCCATCTCCATGGTTTGGCCAGCTTTGTGACCTGGCTCTAGTAACCTCCACTGCTGTCCCCCTTAAAGGTCTGTCCAGGGTCCCCGCTCAGGGCGCATCTCCACTGTGCCCACACAGCCCAGTCCATGCTTTGGCCATCTCCATGGTTTGGCCAGCTTTGTGACCTGGCTCTAGTAACCTCCACTGCTGTCCCCCTTAAAGGTCTGTCCAGGGTCCCCGCTCAGGGCGCATCTCCACTGTGCCCACCTTGTCTTGATCTCCCTGGAAACCCTTGGTGCCCACACAGCCCAGCCCATGTCCCACCCTCCGGGATGGTCTGCCCATACCTTGCTCACCCACTGGCCAGCCTCGACTTGGACTTTTGGCATCTACTTTTTAAGATCCACCCATAATCCTCCACGGCCCACACAGTCCCTGCTGTCTGCCCATCTTGCTGGTCTGTCCTACTTCCCAGTGTCCACCTGGATGATCCACTCATAGCCACTCTGCCCCACATGGCCCCAATCTCGATCCTGATGTCCTGCCCTAGTCTCTGTGCCTCCCTCTGTCTCTTACGTTCTTGGCCAGCCCACAGCCCACACGGGTCTCACCATCCCTACCTTGATGATCTGCCCTTCTTTGAAAGGAAGCTCTTCCTCGGCGGCATCTGGGTTTGGAGACATGGTGAGTGGGTCATAGTCAAACAGAGCCACAAAGATGCGGGCTGGGAGCTCCTCTGTGCCAGGGTCTGTTTCCGACTCTTCAAAGAAGTCTGGAGACAGCCGTTCCCGCCCCCCGTAGTCACCTGTGGGCAGGACAGGGAGCAGGTGAGTCCTCACTAGCCAGGGAGGGAAAGCCCCCTGGCTGGGGGGTATGGGATGAGCATGAGGACATCTGGGCATCCAGAACTGTCCAGCTACGGTAGTGAGTCAGGGTGTGGGCCAGAGACTGCACGTGGGCACTGTGAGATACTATGGCTGTGCCTCCAAAGGCCTGGGCACCTGGGCCCAATGGGATCCTTCCAGGGATAAGTGAGCTAGAACGTGTGCGACCATGACGGGGTATTTGCACAGCGGTCAGGTGTCACTGTCCACCCCGCCAAGCACCTAAGTGCCAGCAAATGCCTTCTCTGGGATCATGACTTCCTGGCAATCCTGTTCTATCACCCAGCTCCTAGAGGTTATTTTCTGAAATGTGTATGGACACACTTGTGTGCTGAGATAGCACATGGCCTGCTAACTGGCCGGGCAGTGTCCTGATGGAATAAGCACTCGGGGCAGGAAGGAGATGTGCTTGACAGCAGTAAAGAGCAGGGCTGAGAGGCCCTTGGGTCCAGCATAGTCATTGGGGATGGGCGGGGCCTAGCATGCAGAGCACAGGTGAGAGGGACAAGGAGTGGGCGTGCTGGCTGCTTTCCCCCCCTGGAGGAGCTCAGCTGAAAACGGGGAAGGCTGGCAGTGTTTCAATTCAGTCATTTTAGGATGTCTAGTGTAGAAGTAAAAGGACTGGTAGTGCAGTGCTGAAGTGCTCAGCCTCTAACCTAAGGTCCCAGCCGGCCTACAGCTACCACGAGAAGGGGGGGCCAATCTGCACCCTAAATGAGCCTCTGACCACTCCTGCGCTGTGCATGAGCTCCTAGCTGGCAGTGTTGTTTCGTGTCAGGCTGCTACGTGAAAAGGGTGGCAGTTTGAATGCACCCGGTGCTCCAACAGGAAGTGGGTGATCTGCTTCCACAGGTCAGTTCTGTGCTGTCCATCAGTACACTAACACTATGAACCAGGGCTTCTATATAATAAAAATACTTATAAATTTTATATTTATAAAAGAAAAACAGATGAGCATTGGAGAATAATCTTCGTGTCACTGACACCAGTTTCCTGGGGTCATCTACCTGGGTGTCTTCCTCTGTGGTGGTAAACACATTGAATTTTGTTTTGTTCCATATGCCCACACCCTGTGTGTCACACAGCAGCCATGCTACAGTCTGCTGTGGGTAGTGTGTGTTATGGACCATATGCAAAAACCAGTGCCCCAAAACCACTGCCCTTCAGGTTGACTCCCAACACCTGTTGACCTTATAGTATGAACACAACATGAAAACCTTCAGGAGCCTGGTCCCCTGTCACTGTCGCTGCTGCTGGCCTGAGAGTCTAGAGGGACAGGTGAGGATGGAGTGAGGAAGAGAGCTGACAGATGCCGTATCTGACAAGACACTAATCTCTAACCTTTATGGAAAACGACAGCACCTCTGTTAAGAATGAACAGGGACATGACAAGACACTTTACCAAAGACTTATGGCCAACAAAGGCATGGAGAAATGCTTAATTAGCTATTGGATGCAAAACAATACAACAATGAGCCCTCACCCCAGCAACAGTAGCAAAGCTCAGGACGACAGCAACCAAATGCCAGCGAGGGTGTGAGAGACTGTAACTTCCACACACTGCAGATGAGAACGTAAAAGGGGGCAACCACCGTGGAAGATAGTCTGGCATTTCCTTAGAAAGCAAAGGATACAAATACCATTGGATCCAGCAGTCTAACTAGTAGGTATATAAAACTGACACAAATGGATATGCACACGCATGTTAAAATAGCAGAGATGGAAGCAACCCAAGTGTACATCAGTGGACGAATGGCTAAAGAAACACACACTCACATAATGTAGTTATTACACAACACTAAAAGGGAGTTCCAAGAACACTGCACAACACGGACACATCTAGAGGCCATTATGCTAAGCGAAGTTAGTAACAGCTGGACAAACAATGCGTAAGATTATTGCTAGAAAAAAGCTAAGGAAAAGGGAGCTCCAGTGGCCTAGTGGCAAGAAGCTGTGCTGCAATCCTAAAGCTGCATGGTTCGAACCCACAAGATGCTCCGCTGGAGAAGGAGTGACAGTCTCCTCCTGTGCCAATTGGATCTGATTCGATCGTACACAATAAAGGGGGGGAATTTAAAAATAGCTAAGGAAACATTCACACAGAACCACTAGGGGGAAAATATATGAGCAAGAACGGGGTAGGGGATGGGGGGGGTGTGTGTGCGCATACACAAAATATGTTTTTGTGGGTTTGTCTCTTAAACATCCATTATAAGAGGTCTGGGACCTCTGTAATAGATTATTAAATCCTTTAAAATTACATTAAGGGGCTCTGCTGGTGCCGTGGTTAAAGCACATAAGGTTGATAACAAAAAGGTCAACAGTACGAACCCACCAGCTGCTCTGATGAAGAAAGATGAGGCAGATTACTTTCAAAACTGACGAAGACAATGGGGCAGGTGTGCTCTGTGCCACAGGGTCACTATGAGAATTGACTGGCAGTCGGGGTTTGAGCTTGAGAGACCTGCTTTGTGTTGAGGTGTCAGCAATCGAGCTTTTCTTCTAATAAGTATCGCATGCAGACAAAATACTGAAGAAGCAGCGACTACAACAATAGAACTGCCAGGAGTTCAAGCTGGATTTAGAAGAGACATGGCACCAGAGCTATCAGTGCTGATGTCAGATAGATCCTAGCGGATAGCAATTATTGACTATGCAAAGGTGTTTGACCATGTGGATCATAAGTTATGGTTGACATTGAGAAGAATGGGAACCCCACAACAATTGTGCTCATGCAAAATGTGTACCTGTTGTGTGAACAGCAAGGGAGATATAATTGTGACACACACCTTAACTTTAAACCATGATTATATCTTATCTCCATACCTATTCAGTCTGTTTGCTGAGCAAATTATTTGAGAAGTGACATCAGAATTGAAAGAAGACTCATCAGTAACCTTCATTAGGCAAACAACACAGTTTTGTTTGTTCAAAGTGAGGACTTGAATCATTTACTGCAGAAGATCAAAGACTACAGTCTTTAGTATGGATTGTAGCTCAATGTCAAAACAAAGATTCTCACCACTGGATCAAGAAGCACCATCATGATGTATGTGCCATTCCTAAACTCTGCTGTCCTGTTGGGGAAAAATACTTAAACTGTCAACGACTTTCATCTTAGTTGGATCAACAAAACTTAGTAACAGTGGCCAGTTTGAGAACTAAGGTACATCTGATTCAGGTCTTTCCAATCACTATGTATCAGAGCTGGACAATGGATAAGGATGACAGAAGAAGTATTGACACCTTTGAGCTGTGGTGATGGAGAAGAGCACTGAACATCCCATAGACGGCCAGAAGAACAGAGAGATGTGTGTTGGAGAGGGTGCAGCCAGAGTGCTTTTTAGAGGGAAGAATGGTGAGGCTTTGCCTCACATACTTGGGGCATGTTGCGAGGAGGTGCTATTCCTTAGAGACATGATGTTGGGAAGGGTGGAGGGTCAGTGAAGGAGAAGAAGACCCCCAACCAAGTGGACTGACACGGTGACTGCTGCAACAGGCTTTTACGTGTCAGAAGTGGGAGGATGGCACAGGACAGGACTGGACTCAGATCTTTTGTTCACAGGGTCACTATGAGTTGGACCCGACTCAACAACACTGAACAGCCATCGTCACCAGCAGCAGCAGCTGTCAGAAAAGCTGCTGAGACCTGGGTCACTCTGGCAGGGCTGCAGGTGGTCGGCGGCCTCTCTTCTCCTCCATAGGCTCAGTGACCAGTTACCTCAGGGTTTCCAGTTCTGTGGCTCTTCTAGGGGCTCAGGGACTCGGGCAGGGGGCTCTCCATGCACCTTTCAGAGGACACCTGGCCTCCAGGCTCACCAGGTTGCCTTTCTGGCTCTGTGAACAACACTGGCTCAATTACATACCAGTGCTTTCAACCTTCACCTGCTGACGTCACAACGCAATGAAGACTCAAAGCCTCACCGGTGTCCGAAGGAAAGAGTCTTTGCAGAGACTGGTCTAGACAGAAGGCTCTAACAGCTGATTTTCTTTGGAGCTAGGAGAACCTATTTAAGCCATGTAACCATGAAAGGATGACTGAAGAAGAATCAATGCCTTTGAATAATGGATCCTGGCAAAGAATACCAAGTATCTCATGGACTGTAAAAAAAGTAAACGCCCGCCCCCCACCAAACCAAGTCTGTCTGAGATTCCGTGCAAACACGGTGCTCCTCAGAGACAAAGAAGGTCAAAGTGCATCTCACATGAGTTGGGGGGAGGGGGAGCCAGTCCTTGGAAAGGTAAACGTGAGGAAGACCTTCAACAAGATGGACAAAGTGACTGTAACAAGGGACTTGGAAAATGAGAGATGGTGAGGCTTGAGCAGAATAGAGATGTATTGTTCACAGGATCCCTACAAGTCAAGTCACAGTCAACTCATAAAGGCACATAACTAAGGAGAATGAATATAGAAATATCCCATATGCTCTGCCAAAACTACAAATTCAACTATTCTCCAGTCTTCTTCATTCTTGACTAAGGAGACCACCAGTGAACAGACTGATGGGACACTGAGTAGACTGCAGAGACATGCAGCAGAGATGCTTCCTAGGGGCAAAGATGGTGAGACTTACCTCACGAGGGACAATCCCTGGCAAAATGCACCATGATGGGAAAGCAGAGGGTGAGCGGAAGAGATGGACTCAACGAGGCGGACTGACACAGCGGCTGCAGCACTGGGCTAAGGACAGCACATGGCCGCGGTGGTGCAGGATGAAGCAGCATCACCGGGAGGCGCTGTGAGGCTTTGCACAGGGACCCTGAGCTGGAGCTGACACTACACCACCACACAAAGAGCACGGTGCTCCCAACAGGAGCGTGGGCTGCTGACCAAAGGCCAGTGGTTCGAATCCACCAGCTGCTGTGAAGGAGAAAAATGGGCATTCTCCTCCTTGAATATTTACCACCTTGAGGAACCCTTGGAGGCTGCCCAAGGGTCACTCGATTCGGGTTCATTTTTTCAGAAGTTCTTGATTTGCTTCATGTGGAAGCGAGCACGTGTGAGCCCTCCCCCTCGCATGCATCTTACAACTGACCGGTTTTCTGATGATTACAGAGTTCCATTATCCTAATACTTCTTGGAACTGCTTTTGTCACGATTCATTCTGGTGATGGACATAATGACCCTACTTGGCCTTCAGCCCACTCAGTGGATTGATGAGGCCGCTGTCCTGACAGCACTGGCCTGACTGGCAAGATTCTAAAAAGTAACTAAGAGAATGGAAGCAGCAAGCTGGTTACGGGGAGCAGGTGGTGACAGGGAGGACGGGTAGGGGACGGGCCAGTGAGGATGCACACGTTTCGGCACGAGTTCCTGCCAGTGCCTTGTCTGTGTCATTTAGCCATGATGTGTGTGTGTGACCACTGTCCACTGCTTGGCCTCCAGGAAATCAACTGCAGCTGGCTGGCCACTGGCCCTGGCGTGTCCCCGGTTGCTGTGAACAGAGCCGGCAGAACTAGAAGCGGACCAACTGGCCCAGGCGTCCACCCTTCACCTCCCCACTGAGGTCTCGAGAAGGATGAAGTTGGAAGTTAAAAGCCAATGCAAGGCATCAAAGTACTTACAACCTGTGTTACCTGTCTGGCTGGGCCATCCTCTGCCTTCTTTTGCCATTAATAACCAAGGTTTGTAGTCTGCTGAAAATGTTCCTGCTGAAATTCCTAAGAACTGTTGCCTTACTGTTTGCACAGAGACTAGACTAAGCATCCATTGAGCTGTGCGGGTGAAAGGACCGGAGAGAGGTGGGCCTACTAACCGATGGATGGCCGGGACCTCGGCGGGCCGGCGCTGCCGTGCGGGAACCTCGGCCCCGCGTGGTCCCTGTCGGCCCGGCCTGCAGACACCAGGTTCCCTAAGATCTGGAAAAGAGACAAGGAAGGCAGGGTCAGAGGGCGTGCCCGCGGCGCTGAGGGTGCAACACATTCAACTCAAATTCGAAGCGTAAGCTCTAAAGGCAACTAAACTTAGCTTTTAACTGAAAGGTTAGCTGAATGACCTGGAAGAGAAAGAAGCTGTTGTCCTGGGCACCCCATTTTCAACGCAGCATTGCCTTGACATGTGGGCAGAGGGAGCAAAAAGGGACCCATGGGAAGAGTGTGGTGGTGGCTGTTGTTACCTCAACTACTGTCAGCATCAAGTACTCTAAGCCGAAGTGGCCACGGCCTCAGGCCAGCTCCGGGTCCTGTCCTGTCCAGAGGCCTGTCCCCAGCAGCGACTAAAATGGGGCTAACACTGCACACCTAAATGTCCCCTGGGGCAGAGCTGTGGGTGAGGTAGTGGACAGAGAGAGGGCCTTCCAGTCACAGCTGCCTAGCTGACCGGACGACAGCTGCATGTCAGGGCTAACACGATTGGCTCCTGTTTCTGGGCTCCAGCGGGGAATGGGTGAGCAGCACAAGATTTCCAGCTTACTGGTGCTGATTCATGTAAGAGGTGAGCCCTGAGTGCAGGCTGGACAAAGGGCAGAAGGGGGCGTCCAGCAGGGGGCACTGTAGTCTGCAGGCCAGCGCTTGGTGACGCTGGCGCCCCTGTGGCTGCAGAGCCACCTGCACCCAGCAGATGGGAGTGCCGTGTGGTTTTCATTGGAACTTGGGCCAATCAGGAGTAAATGTCCTGGGAGAGGACACAACACAGAGAGAGAGATGCAACCTGGAAGGAGTCCCTACTCTCGACAGCCAGCTGCCCAGCCCGGATGAACAGACAGGGCAGCACACGTGCCCAGAGCCCCCCAAAGGCTGACGGTGCCACGTTCCTTCTGAAAATCTTGGAGGTGGAAATGGGATTGGGAGCAGGGGACAGAAAACAGCAAACTTTGAAAGCAACATGCAAAAATGGAGCCCTGCAACAATCATTCTCCATACTTCTTCCAATTTAAGCACGAAAGTTGAAAAGTACCTAAAACTTTCAACAGCACGAGCAGTCACAAATGAGTCTCCAAGGATCTTTTTTGAAAAAACAAAAAAATAAATATATACGTGTTTCCAAACACTTGGACCATCGCAGTTCAGCTAACCCTTAATTAAAATTTAGATTCAGTTGACCTTTACGAAAAGCAGCCACAATCATCATCGATTCTGTGGGTGAAGATCATTATTCTAAAGCAAAGTAAAGAGGTCTCCAGCATGGCGGACAGATCATGAAGCAACGGGGCTTAATCAATCAAAATGCACAGGGGAAATAAAAGGAAGCCGCGGAGGGTCCCCGGGGACAAGCACCGGAAGGGAAGGGGGCGGGCCGGGCCGGGCGGGCAAGCAGATGTGAGCGGGGTACTTCACACACCCAAGGACCATCTGCGGCTCGGGCAGGGTTAGCATGATGGACAGTGGCCCTACGGCCAGGCACATGTGTGCCCTTCCTGCAGACACCCCGGGGGTCTTCGTGAGCCGGGGGTTCATCCCAGACTGACTTCCTGGGGCCAGCTCTGTCCAGGCGGGGCTGGGCTCCATCGCTGCGGATGCCTTCGCTGTGGTCCACTTGGTCCCCAAAGTCTTCTTCGATGCTGCTCTGCCTCGTCAGTGTCCGGCGCCGGGCCAGCAGGGGCCTGAGGTTCCGGCGGCAGGGGCAGGGCCCGGGGCCCGCTCCGCACCTGGCAGGGGCGGCTCGGAAGCTGGAGCGCAGCTCCTCCTCCTCGCTGCCACAGTCCAGGCCACTGTCCGGGCTGCGGGTGGCCGAGCGGCTGAAGCGGCAGGTCCTGTCTTCCAGGAGGTCCTCGGCGTGGGGGCCCCTGTGCTGGGTGGGGGGCCGGGCACCCCACGGGGCCTGCCGGTGCCCTCGGGCCCTGTGTGGGCACCCCACACACTGCTCGTGCAGGACCTGGCCAAGCTCGCTGTCCTCAGGGATGCTGAACAGCCTCTTACTGTGGCGGGGCTGCGGGGGGGACTCAGGACGCTCCCACCATGAGCCTTCGGGGGGCCCCCCCTTACAGCACTCCTTCGGGGTGGCATGTGACCGAGTGGGCAGGGGGCAGACAGTGCGGGGCCCAACGAAAAGTGGGGGCATGGGAAGAGAGAGAACACAGACAGATTAGTCCCGGCAGAGATGGGGCGTAGAGCAAGCGTGGCCGGCGGGCTCCAGAGGGACACAGGCGCCAGCGTGCCGGGCATGTAGCGGGTGGGCCGACAAATGGCCACCAACCTGGGGACAAAGGCTGAAGGGCTCACACAAGGCAGGACACAGTCCATCAGAGCAGGGGCCGGAGCCCACACACTGCCTAGCATGTTAGGGGCCTAACTGAGCGGGTGGAGCAGTGACCACCCTGCCCCTGCCCTTGGATGCCCTCAGCAACACTGCTCACGTGAGACCCTCAATGCCTGCCCGCCACCTCGTCTCTCCCTGGCTGCTGAGTGTCCTCTGACTTGCGAGAGACCCAGGCTGGACCCACACTTCCACTCCCAGAACAGCTCTTGACACAGCACTGGGGCTCCACCAGCCTCCAGACAACGTCCGCCTGCCGCTCTAGACCCACCCCATGCATGGTATGCCCCTCTGGGCACCAGGCCGTATGTCACCTGTCCCCTCTGGATCCACACCATGTGGTCCCTTCTTAGCTTCCATGATGCTGTCCCCAGCACAAAGCCGACCCCTAGTCTTGCTGGACAAATGGTAAAGGGCCCAGTGCTTCACTCTCCACACCACTGCTGCTGGTAACTCTCTGGGCCCTGGACTTTACCCCGAAGGATGCCCCCAGCTGTATCTTGGGGGGCTGGCATGCTCACCTCCACCTACTCCAGCCCAGCTCCTGGCATGAGCACAGTGGGTTTCCTTGATGTCCCACTGGGCTGCGCCCCTCGGTGATGATCGACACCGTCTGTGGGACTCACTAAAGGTGGGTGAGGGCATGGACGGCCCTCCTACAACTATCTTCCACCAGATGGTGTAAGGAACTCCTGACACCACCGATCTCCCAGGGCCCACATCACTGGCACGAGCAGCAGCTCTGGGTTGGGCAGAGCATGGGGACACCTCCCTCCAGAAGGGCCACCAGGAATCTGCGTGATATCCCCATTAGAGCCAGGACAGGGGAGTGGAAGGCAGTTCGGGGGTCATGCCAAGAGGGGCGTGTCCAGGGAACTGGCACTCTCTGTGGTGACAGGACACTGCTCAGGCCACGGCCTTCACCCAGGCACCTGGGTCAGCCTCCTCCGCTGGGAGATTTGGACACTACCTCTTGTCCACCACTCAAAATGCAAGCCCTCGGGAACCGGGCTCTAGGCCATGGGACCTTCCTCTCCACAGCCTGTCCTTCCTGGAAACCCTCCACTGCCCACCCAGGCGCCCAGCCCTTCCTCTCTCCACAGCTCGGATGGCTGGAAGCTGCTGAAGGCAGGAACCAATCCTACCCCGTTCCCGAGCAGCCAGCCGAGACCGCGACAGGCAGTGAGGGCACACACGCGGGGACAAGGACAACGCAGCGCTGACCGGCAGCAGGGGGAGATCTGGTCTCAAAGGAAAGGATGCAACACCACAGCAAGGGGATTGAGCTTAGCCGGCTGGTGGCCTGTGTGTGTGATCTGTCGGGACACCCACCGCCCAGGAGGAAAGACAGAGAACACCCAGACTCAAGGCCTAGCTCAGACCCTACCTCTTAAGGCGGGCTGCCAAGCCCCCCAGAGGCTCCCCACTGTCTTGTCTCCAGTTTGGACTCAGATGCCAATTCTCCTGGGTACCAACTGTCTCAGATGAGTACTTAAGGCTGGGATGGAATATTCTCTCTCTAGTCATCCAATTAAGATTTCTACCCAGGGCTGGCTGCCTCCCTACACACTCAAGAGGAGCCAAGAGATCTCTGATTCCTCGGCCCTGACCAGGCCAAGAACAGGACAAAGGCACAGAAATTGCTGAATGCAGAGACAACAGTGAGCGAGAAGCCGATCCAAGTCTGAGTGCTTCTGGGAGCAGGATGAGGTCCCCCCGGAGCCAGCCTCCACAGCCCCAGCAGAGACAGGACCGAGCTACTCTGGGGAGTGGGGTCTGCATCCCCCCCAGAACTGACCTTGAGGGCATTGTGGGATGTGCCACTGGGCCGCCTCCTGCCCCCGTCCTCCAGCTGCATTTCCGAGTAGAGCTCCTCCTCATCCTCCTCCATGATGTCTGAGAGGTCAGACCCCCGACTGCTCTCCGTGTGGTACTCATCTCCATGGCAACAGTGGGGCTGGGACAGAGAAAAGGGGACGCTGACCAAATAGCATCTCGGTACTGGTGTGCCAGAGTCTCTTAGCCCTCTCTGCCGTTCCCTGGATCCCCAACACGCAGAGGGGTGTGTGGGTACTTCTGCATGTCTATCGTTCACCTGCAAGATGGGGAGATGAAGCCCAGGTGCAGGGGAAGCTCGCCCAAGCCACACGGGGATTCGGGACAGCAGAGAGTGGGCTGGATATAAGCCACCCAACACTGACCTCAGAGACAGAGAGGTGAGCATCCCCAGGGGCTGGTGGAACAGAACATCTACATGACCTGGTGGAAAGTGGCTTTTCTGGGTGCTATCAGTCTGCCGACTTCTAGCTAGAGAAAGACTCAAGCCAGGGGCTGTGAACCCAGATGACAGTGGGAATCAGGAGGGCAGAGTGTGGACACCGGACCTGGTGTGGTGTCGGATGGCAGGAGAGATGGCAGGCACTCGGAGTGGTCATCCAGGGATAGCTGTGCTCACTTGGGCAGTCTTGGCCACTGAGAGCAGGTGCAAGATGTGTGGTCAGGGAAGGGACATGGAGAAGATGCTGGGGACAACACAGAGGTGGGCAGGAAAGTCTCTCTTGCACAGAGTTCTCGGTAGCAGCCCCGAGAATGCTAATGTAGTGTTCACAGTAACTTCAAAAACAGTACATATTTGGTATTTGAGGTCGGCATATACAAATAGTGTCCCTACATTAAATCTCATGGGTTCCGTTTCAATTCAGCTGCCACATTTACTTAGAGACAAAGCACTTTGTCATTCATGACTTGCATCTTTAAATTAGTAGAGGTTCAACAAGTCCAACTGTACCCCGAGCAGCCCGAGACCTACGGGTGCGGTTGTGGTTAGGTGGGGCTGGTTAAGGGCAGTCTCTGGGGTCTGCTGGTGGGTGACAGGCGACTGTATTTACTAACGTGCTGTGGTGAAAACAGCTTTGCTGCGTCACTAAAGCTACACGACACTGCACGAGCACTTCCAGGTGTGCTGAGCCTGACAGGAGGTGTGTCAGAGCGCACACAGGTGAACGGGCCCCGCGAGGGACTGGCCGGGCTTGCTCTTGGCCTGGGCGGCTCGTCCATCAGCATCAGAGCAGCTATAGCCCTCTCTCTTTCAATCAGGGCTCCAAACAGAACATACAAGCCAATGGGCCGGAGAAGAGTAAGCAGAGATCCGACGGGGGGCTGGACGGCCTACCCCCTATGCCTACACAGACACTCTCCCCTCATGTACCCAGAGAGCCCAGCACCTTTACAGTAGCCAATCTAGGCCCCATGGACTCCTGCACGGGAAGGAGGCCTCAAGGAATGTGCCCAGCGTGGCCAAGTTGGTCTATGAAGGGCTGGGATGGGGAACCAGCATGACGTGACCCCCACGGTCAGAACAGATGCCCTTGCACTGGTGAAATGTCAGCAGCTCTCCCTACTGGGCGTGGGGGCTCTTGGCAAGGTGGGAGGGGTCCCAAACCAAGCACCATATTAATATGCGCGTTACATGGGATTTTTGCAAAATATTAAACCTGTTCATTCATTGTGTGTGTGTGTGTATTACTTATATGGACATGTTATATGCAGTTAAATACAGTATCACCCAGAGCCAAGTTTTAATCTGCCCCAGCTCTCTTAGAAAAACCAAAACTGTGACCATGAACTAGACTTCTGCTCAGCCTGAAAGCACAACCACTCACCATTTAATAAGGCTTTCTGATGGGCCAGCCGCTGGGTCACCTCAGTGAATGTTTACAACACGGTTTCCCACTCGACCACTCACATATTTTATGACATTAGTGATACAATATGCTGTTAGCTGCACTTTTCCCACTTTCCCGTGAGTCTCATTTCCATCAGTCCGACATGGTTTCCATCATCACTTTCAACAGAAATCAGCATTTTCTTCTCTTGGTGGCATGTCAACTGTTTGAACAGCTAGCTCCAAGGGACAGAGTGTCATCAACAATCCTTCCTCACAACTCATTCCTCAACTGTCAGGGGCATGGGACCCCACTTTCCCAGGGAGATATAAGGGCAAATCTGACGGAGCCTCTGGAAAATATTTTCCTCCCAGATCAGAGGACAGTGCCTGAGGCGGAGGCCACATTTCCCCATGCATTCTTTGCTGTTACAGAAAGGTGTGGTGGCTGGCACTGTGGCAGCCCTTTTTGTCACTGAGACAACACAGCAGCCAAACCTGGCAGTGGTCTCCCCTCAGCCTCCCTGAAATGTGGGGTAAGTTATAAACGCCGTCACTACTGGGGCACTATTTGTTGCTAACACTCACGAGAAGCATTTCCGCCTCACAGGAGGAGAGGCCTGCCTGGGGGGCCTGTGGAGTGGGCCTGGTCTGGCTCAGCTACAGCCGCAGCACAGCCATCCACTCACCGGCTTCCCCAGCTCGGAACCTTTGAGGAAGTCGTCCACCGACGTGCCCCTGCGCATGGGGTCCGGGGAGCCGTAGCCGTCCTCCTCGTCTGAGTTGGCGTACTGCCCGGCACTGATCCTCTCGGGGAACACACTCCTTTTCTCTAACTTGGAAGGAAAAGGGCAACGGGCAGTGAGCTGGCTCGTCAGGAGGGGCAGGGCCCTGAGCACCCAGCCAGGGGACACCCCATGGTTCTGGACTGAGGACACCCCCAGCCTTCTCAGAGCAGCAGTCAGAAGAGACCAGGGAGTCTGCTCTCTGTCCTAGTCACCACCCGGCCCTGAGGTGTCCCCACATCTGTGTCCACACGTCTGTTCTTCCCCCCGCCTCTCTGAGCAGGGTGGACTTCGTGAGATGTGCACATCTCCCTCCCCGGGTATCCTCTCTGACTGCTAATTCCACCAACCCAGGATTCCTCAACGGGGAGATTCTGAACTGTCTCCCACATGTCCTCAAGGGCAGCCAGGAGCCAGGCCCCCAGGACTGACCCACACGAGGCTGACCTGCGGTTCCTCAACCTCTTATCTGAATGTGGTCATGCCTGTAGCAGGTGCACATACAGGTTACCAAGTGCAAGTACATACAGGTGTGGGGATACTGTATATACCTGTGTGCACAGATGTGCTCTTATGTAACGTGTGCAGACAAGCACACACAATTACACACCTGCCTACACATCCATGTGCAGGTATGTTTGCATGTATCCTACACACACCTAAATGCACACATATGAACATACATTCACACATGTGTCACATGCACACATGTATGACACACACCGTGTCCCTATGTACTGACGTATATAAACAAATCTCTATCCATACATGTCATTGTGAGCACCTGCTTATAACATGAGTGTACACATGTGCTCACACACGTGCATACACAGCACGTGTGGACATGCACATACACATGTCCATACGTATCTGAACAGACACTAGTCCTCTCTGAATGAACATTTACACCTCCATCTTTGGGGGAGAAGGGTCTCCCCACTGTCACAGCCCCATGACCCCACGCTATCTTTCTGGGGTGTACGGGTGTTTCTGGCCCAGGCAGCCCCTGATGTTGGGGTGCCCACACCCACAGCACAAGCACCCCTCCCCAGGACAGCTGAAGGAGGAAGGGGCATCATCTGGACCAACCAGAGTGGACAGTCTCACCCTGCTGTTCTCGGCCACTCTCTGTGCCGCCTCCCGGGCCATGGCTTTGGCAACGGTGCTGGACACGGGAGTGCCCCGCGGCTGTGGGAGGATGCGGGACGGCGAGGGTGAGCGGCGGCCGGGCCCAGGGCCCTGTGGGCTGGGGGGCTCCAGCAGGTGCCCGTGGACGGGTGTCTGGCCAGGGGGGCCCGGGGCTGCATCTTTGGTTTCAGGGGCACTTGTGGATGGCTTCGTCGGGGGTGCGGCCCTGGGGTGGGGGGCTGGAGGCACCAGGAGGTCGGGGGGGATGGCGGCCACCACGGAGTCCACGGACTCGCCCTGAACTGAGAGGGTCCGCACACTCAGCGCCTGGGCATCCAGACTGCGCAGGCGCACCAGCTCCACAGCCGTGCTGTCCGCCGTTGGGAAGACCACCTCGGCCACCTGCAAGAGAGCCGGTCACTTGCCAGGGCACTGCCCCACATCTCCCCAGACAGCCTGTGGGCTGAGGGGCCATCCTCATCTATCCCAGACCCCACAGCCAGCAAGAGAGATGATCATCGCAGTACACCACCAGCTACTGCCTCATGTCACCCTAGACAGCCTATAGGCAGAGGGGCCCGTCCACGTCTAACTCAGAGCCCATGTCACAGGAAACAGGGTGGTCACTCCAGCATACCAGCAAGACACTGACCCTCGTCACATGAGACAGCTTCCAGGCAGAGGGGCCTGTCCACATGCAACCCCGACCTCACAGGCCATTTTGCACAGAAAGAGGACTTGCCCAGTCACCACTGTGTGAATTGACTGGTGACAAGTCCACCTCTCACAGGATTGCCCCTGGGGGGCAGACCACTCGCCGGGCCTTCCAGGGCTGTGCTCTCTACAGAGGAGACGACGGCCTCATGGTCCCATGGGCAGCTGGTGGATTCCAACCACACAGCACTGCACCACCAGCCTTCCTTGGGACCAGCGTGAGCAGCTCTAAATTTTGCAGAAATTTAGAAATCTTCCAGAGCTGTCCTAGTCCACTGGCTGCTGGACTGCTAATCCGAAGGCCACATCTCTGAGATGGTTCAAATCCTCCAGCAGCTCCATGAGAAAAAGATGGGCAGTGTCCTCCTGGGTTATTTATAGCCTCGGAAAACTTACCGGAAGGTCAGTCAAGAGTCCAGCAATGAGGTGGGTTTGTGTTGTTTTTTTTTTTTTTGTCTGTTTGATAAGGTGCTATTTTTTTAAAAAATAGCTTCTTTTATATGTATGTTACATAAGTCCAGCGTCCACCTTAGTGGAGTTTTGCTTCTGTATAGTGGGTTCAGGCCCACCAGAGGCATCGCGGAAGAAAGGCGTTCTATTTAAGATGCCCTCTCCTGACAGCCCTGCAGAGCTGGTGCCCCTCTGCTGTTACACTCCAGTTACTAGTCTGGGGTTTCAGTGAGGGCTGAGGTAGGAAGGGGTTGGCTCTCTCGAGGGGACACACCACGCCACGCCACTCACCCTTTGCCCACGAGCATATACTCCATAGCCCGTCACATTGGCGCCGTTGGACAACCCAGTGGGGGTCAGCACAGGTGGTCTCCATGACACCTGGACGGTGGCAGGGGTGGACCCAGCCTGCACAGTGACATCCTGTGGGGGAGCCGGAGGACCTGGAGAGACAGAGGGACAAACGCTGTTACACAGGCGCTACCCAACTCTGCCCGGCTGCTGGTGATGCCAGGAAAGTAGTGGGGGGTGCTGACCAGAGAGCAGGAGAGGGGGTAGGGGCAGCCCCAGTGACCAGTGAGTACTTCTTCACTGTCTCCTGGGCCTCTCTGAGGGGCAGCACTGCCCATGGCAGAGACTGTGACACAGGGCAGAGGGGCAGAGAGTCCTGAGGCTGGGCAGGGGAAGGACAGGCCCATCCCCAGGCTGCTCCTGGCTGGTTCTGTCTCTCTCCACCTCCTCCCCTCTCTGTGTCTGCCTTCTCTGACTCTCTCCCTCTGCCCTTCCTTCTCCCCCCTACCTCTGCCTCTCCCCCCTCCTCTCTCCCTTTCTTTCTCTTCTCCCTCCCTTGCTCCCTTTCCATCTCCCATCTCTCCCTTCCTCTCCTGATGACCATTTCCTGGGCCATAGCCTGTGACCCCACACTCTCATATCTCAAGTGTACCCGACAATGGGCACCAGCAGACCCTGGCTGTCCCGTAACAAGACTGGGCACTGCTGTGCACAGCCTCCCCACTGAGTGGGTCACTCTCGTCAGAGGCCACCAGGTCTCAAGGATGTGGTCACCTCCTAGATCCCAAGTGACTAAGGCCCTGAACTCCATCAGGGCGCACCCAGCACCTGCCGCAAGGACGGAGGTGACCAGGCTGTCAGACTCGGAGATAAAGAAAAAGAACTGAGACCAGAACCCACTTCCACAGCCCCGTGAGGTGACAGTAAAAGCAGGGGCTTATGGGTGAGAGGGCAGAAGCCTGAAGCCCTGACGGTCCTGGTCAGTCCATGGCGAGAGGATGTCCAGGGCCTTAGTGCCTATGCGGAGATGCTGGGAAAACCCACACACACACACACACACACACACTCACTCTCACACACACTCTCTC